GTTACAGTTAATTAATGTGATAGCTTAGGGTAGATGCAACAGTTGTAACAACATGTAAGCCATGAACCAAAGTATCATACCAAATCAGATGTCGCACAAGGCTACCTAAAGGTACACAAGCTACCTGAAGTTACAGTTAATTAATGTGATAGCTTAGGGTAGATGCAACAGTTGTAATGACATGTAAGCCATGAACCAAAGTATCATACCAAATCAGATGTCGCACAAGGCTACCTAAAGGTACACGTTAGTTTAGGTAGTACATGCAGATTAATACTTGTAACATGTTTTTACACTATTACTAGTAACATTTTTTTCCATACTAGAAATTGAAACATCAGTTTTCATACCACTACTTGTAACATCAGTTTCATATCACTACTTGTAACATCAGTTTTCATACCACTACTTGTAACATCAGTTTTCATACCACTACTTGTAACATCAGTTTTCATACCACTACTTGTAACATCAGTTTTCATACCACTACTTGTAACATCAGTTTTCATACCACTACTTGTAACATCAGTTTTCATACCACTACTTGTAACATCCGTTTCCTTGATGAATTCTCCACTGAACCAAAACCATTTTAAACACCACTTCTGTCCTCCAAGGCATACTTGAAGCATGGGTAATATCACAAGGTACTGATATCCAGCTTATAGTTAGCCAACTCTTCTAGGTCAACTGGACTTCAGTACACTGCGTAGGTCATCGGGAAGTGTTTCTATTATACCTTCCATGTGGCCATGTAACTTTGTCAATGTCTCCGGAGAAAGAGGCAACTTCTCGGTTTCTGCCGTCATCTGGAACAAAGATTAAAACATTATAAAATCAAGAACCTACATTGAAAATTTGAAAACGTCTAACTAAAATATGTAGTTGAGTAACCGCTATTTACCATTTTATCTCTGAGACGAAGAACCAAGTCAACAACTTCAACTTCTTGTTTATCTTGCACCCACTGCAACAGATCCTAGGAGAAAATAAACATGTTAAAAACACTCGTGCGTTGAAAGGAACAATCTATCGTTTAGAAGTTAAAATTACCTCAAGTATAAACACTTTGAACAAAAAAGAATTCTAAGATTATGTGCTAAAAGCTAACTGTCTTTTGAAGTGATAAACTTACAGCATCTGAGATGGCCTCAATATGCAGAGCTTGTAGTTTCTGAGTTACTTCACTATACCTAGCATTGTACCAACCAGCAAAGTTGACACAACGAAAGAAGCGTCTGAAAGAAATACAGATATATTAGGATATAAGAGATAAGAATAAAATTATACTATATCATAAAAATATATATAAGTTTGACAATTCTTAGTGATATCATAAAACTAAATATTTAGAATGGAGACACAAACTTTAAGTTTCCTGGATTCTATTATTACTAAATTAGTTTGGTTACTGTCATCAACATATTATTAATTACAAAAAAGAAGTACTTTTAACATCACTTTCAGTACCTTGTTAACTGATGTTACATAAAGATGAAGGAATTTTAACATCACTTTCAGTACCTTGTTAACTGATGTTACAAAAAGATGGAGTAATTTTAACATCACTTTCAGTACCTTGTTAACTGATGTTACATAAAGATGGGGTAATTGTAACATCACTTTCAGTACCTTGTTAACTGATGTTACATAAAGATGGAGTAATTGTAACATCACTTTCAGTACCTTGTTAACTGATGTTACATAAAGATGGGGTACTTATAACATCACTTTCAGTACCTTGTTAACTGATGTTACATAAAGATGGGGTACTTATAACATCACTTTCAGTACCTTGTTATCTGATGTTACATACAGATGGAGTAATTTTAACATCATATTCAGTACCTTGTTATCTGATGTTACATAAAGATGGGGGAATTTTAACATCATATTCAGTACCTTGTTAACCCTCTCCAGACGGGTGACAGGTCAAAGGCCGTGTCATCTCATTTGTTAACTGCATTCAAAATTTTATTGAACTACTATTTCATGAATTTATGTCAATAAGTTTGGTATAAAACTGTAGATTATAATACATTATTTAATTTCTTAATTTAAAAGTAAATACTAAAAAACACAGTCAAACATTGATTTTTGTGTGTCACGTGGTATGTTGAATGCAGCATTGGTTCCAATTAGATGTCAGTGATGTCAAACTACTAAGTTTATAGTTTCGTATAAATTAGAAACTCAAATTACCAATATTGACAAGCTAGAATATAAAATAAGAACCTCTTATCTTTTCTATTTGCTGAGATATCACTAATTTACTGAATCAAACACAATGGACCTGCTCAACTTTTTCCATTTTTGGAAATGGTCCCATATATACACTTACTTCAATATATGACATGTGAATAATCAACCCAACTTTCTCAGCCATTTCATTCTTTTGAACCAATATTTCAAGGAGGTAGGTTGTGTCTTTAGTCTGCTCAAAATTTCATATTTTTTTAGACCCAAATACAGCTTACTTACTAAGCTTGACAAATTATAGTGGAATTCTATAGTATTGATATAGTAATTTATGATTTTTTAGTTACTTCAACTGTATATATAAAACCTTACAAAAAAATTATTTCATTTCATATCCTCCACATGCGAAGTTTTAAAAGGCTTAGCAACAACCGAATACAAAGGTCATAACTAGAAGAGATAATTGTTTAAGAACTTATTTCTAAATAGCAATAATCTATATACATATATATATATGTAATGTATAATAACTGAAATGTGACTGTATTTTACAAAATACTAGTCTACTAAAACACAGCCAAGAAAGGTCACTTTGTACAGACTAAAGGTCAGTTTTATGTTATTTGATATGGTAACATGAGTGAATGTGATCCAGGTACTTGTGACTTCTGTATTCTTAGCCAGGCACTGCTGAAAGTTCAATATAATAAAAGTAATAAATATATATAAATGTTTAATGTTATGAGATTTAAGCTATTTAGTCTACACATTTATGTTTTCATGTTATAATCTGTGTTCATTCTAGAATGAAAGAGGCATAATGTATGTTTATTTCCTAATTTTTTATAGTGGTTACGAGATCGGTCAAATCAACCAAACCCATACAGAGATTCATTACTAAAAATAACAGATAAAATATAAAGTTTTTTTCTTAAGAAATGTT